ATTTTAAAGAAAAGCAATGTTTTTTTTGAGCTATGGCAAACCTTCTTATGCAGAAGTATGTCATGGTCTATATTATGTGATCTACATATATAAAAATGAAACCCGTTTCTCGCTGTAACGCCATCACTTGAGAACGGCTAGACCGATTTGGCTGTTTTTTTTTTTATTGTGATGATTATTGTCAGGAGAAGGTTTGTATGACAGAAAAAAGTAATGAAATCCTACGAGAACGGGATGAAACGGGATTGCGCGTACGAAGTCGCGGGCAGAAGTTAGTAAACAATAAAAAAACAAGTGACAACCCAATTTTGTGTGTATTTATTTATCGTGAAAATCATTAACTCTCGCTTCCACCTATAACTGAAACCCCACAATTTTACGCAAAATTAAATCTGCGCGGTTGCTCATAGCAGACATTAAAATTACATAGGTACATACATATATAGAAATTCAGTATACACTCGTATTGCGGCGGCGGAAGTGCTTGCCTGCATTATTTTCATATTTCCAAGCGCTGAATGTTTCAGCAATTGTAAACGGTGTTGTATGAACGTTATTTCAGCTTTAATTTTGTATGGGAACTTGTAAAGTGGGTAAATTGATGTTCTTTTAAGTGGATAGGTTTTTGAAACACGTATGAGTCTGATTTGAGTGACTGTCAACATAGTTAAGTGTGTAAATAATCTGACGTTTAATCTCCGGGTTAGGCAAAGCTTTTATGGACATTTTTTATTGTCGATTTCTATTGTAGTAAGTATATTCCATACTAAATATTTAAGACAATAATGATTTGGCAAAATTAACTAAAACTTGTGGGTTACTCCCATGAATGTACTGAACAAAGCTCTACTAGTTTTGAGCCACAGAGGGGTTCTTCCTCATGAGCAGCATGCACGGTCGCGGCGATGTCGCGCAGCCTACTGGTTTGACAAATCCAGAAACAGTCGACAGACGAGACAGTTATGACGATTACCAAAAGAAAATCCATAAACATGTGCATATTAACTGCAAAGATAAGTACGGCCTTATTTTATCGGTCCTCTGAGCACAAACTGTGTATCAAAACTAATTAGAAGTTCCCATACAGCAACACTTTATCAACAAAATAAATTAAAATGCGAGCGAACAACTTATAGCTTTTCAAACGAATATACTTTATAGTCTCATAAATTTTCCTATTAACCATTCTAGACTCTATCCCTTGGCAATAAAGACCATATTTATTTAATTAAAATTAAGTAATTCGTGCAGGTTAGCGACGGGGCCATAAAATGGCGCTTAGTTCTCAGTAATTGCTTTTGTACGTGAGTTTTATATTATGAAGTCGAATTCTTTGTTTTTGATATCGAATTATCGATTCTTAGTGCATTTTTATTGTTGTTTCTTTATGAATAGTAATTTTATTAAATCTTTTATTTAGTTTATAATATATTCCCGGTAAACCTACACACGTATGTAGTTTGGGATTACGCCAGATGTATAGTAATCGACTTTTATTTCATGGGACTCGGGCTCACTTCTAACTTAGCACTAAGTATCAATGCTCTCTGTTAAACCTGAACATTTTAAAGTTCGACTTTCAAAACGCCTGCGTAGCGTGGCGATTATTGTAAAACCTCTTATGCAGTTTGTATAATAGTTCAAGTCAACTGGTACAGATAGTTTTTAATGCTAAGTACATCTTATATATAAAAAAAAAACAATATTTAATCTAAAAGTAGGATTGTAATACGGCAATGTCCAATGAATGCCAAGATCCATGTCGAGGTGCGTACCAAACTACCTGTAGATACATAGAAGGTAGCTATGCCAAAAAACTGATGGTCGCCTATGTACTGGTGGCCCTGAGGTTTAAGACGACCACTTCTATTGCATGAGGGTGCGCGTTCGAAACATACCAACCGCAAGTACCAATGTGACTTTTTCCGAGTTATATGTACTTTCTAAGATTATCTAGACACCACTGACAAACGGTGAAGGACAACATCGTCAGGAAACCTGGGCTTATAACTTCTAATTATAAGTTTGTAATCGCTAATCCGCATTGAGCTAGCGTGGTATTTTTTTTTATGCCATAAGCCGGTAAACGAGCATACGTATCACCAAATGGTAAGCAATCGGCGTCGCTCATGGACACCTGGAACACCAAAAGCGTTGTAAGTGCGTTACCGGCCTTTTGGGGATTAGGAGTTTGAGGATCGTTGGGAATTCAGGGATTTGGGAGATTGGGGAAAGGGAGGGTAATTGGACCTCCGGTAACCTCACTCACAAGACGAAATACAACGCAAGCTTTGCTTCACGTCGGTTTTCTGTGAGGCCGTGGTATCCGGTCGAGCCGGCCCATTCGTGCCGAAACATGGCTCTCCCACACTTAATTAATGCTCAAACCTCCGTGCGAGACTCTTCTCGACTGCTGACCAAATGTCTCTCCTTTGGTGTCCACTTATAGCCTGTTGATTATGATGATGAATACGGCAAAATTCTTGAGCTTCTATTACTTCGTTATGTCACACACATATATACCCTTACAAATATCTTTACTTCACAGCACCCCATTACAATGAGTATCTACAGTAAATCAAGTAAATTGGTTGTTTGTTCATTAAATTACTATCAATAAATATAAATCTTACCGTCGTCGGGTCGTTCGTCATAAGTTCGGGTAGAGACGCACATTTGTTCTGTAATTACAGGACTAAGATCATTTTTATAGGCTTCCCTAATTAATATGAACTAAGTATAGTTCGGTACGGGTTAGGGGAATAGTTTCAATATTTGACAATAAATTATTCCATGCTCAAAACTGTCAAATGTCAATTTTATTCTACCGTTAAGAAATATTATGTTGATTGAAAAATCGGCTCTAAGAGTTATAGTAACAGGAATCACTTTTAACATGATGAGTTCATAATGTTTGGTCCAGCGGTTGCAAGAGAGACGCTCAAGCAAAGGGTCCTATCTTCATTCTAAGGACGAACAAAGTATTATTTTGTTAAATCAAATTTCTCAATACCAAGGAGTTTTGCTCTCTACCGCATTACATTTTCACATTCATATTCTTCACTCCACTTAATGTATCTTTTGACACTTTAAAGTTAAAAGTTAAACTCATTCCAAACAGCTAGGAAGTACAGTGACGAAGTTATTTACCCGTTAACACGAAATAGTAAACACGTTCGAACTAGTTTGCAACTCATTACCTGAAATAGTCATTCGCACTACGTAGCATTTTGTTGCAATACAACTTTACTAAGTCTATAATTAATGTAACATGTTAAACGGAAATCGCTTTTTTTGTCCGACTGAATTAGAAATAGAAAAAAAAGACCTGCATTTACTACAAACCATTTGATGATGGTGATGATAAGATTACATATACAATCATTACTCCTGGTGTGGCCGATTGGTTGCAAGTCCAACTGCCGGGCAAGTGACAGACAAAACTAAAAAAAAATATTGCAAATTAAAATTACGATTGTAAATAAATTGATTTGAAATCTTTTAACTACGCCGGCTAGTTAGTCAGTTTAAATATAATTAATGTTATTTTGCATTAATTTAAATAGAAATAACTAGAATTCATTAATAACCATCGTCATACTCTTAGCCGACAGTCCTAAGCCTGGTAAAGTAGGAAGGAAAGATTTCATATCTCATAATGCATAATTACGTATGGGTACTTGAAACATCGTACCTACATTATATTGGAGGCATACCCTACTTATCGCATACGTTTACTTATCGAAATCCTACCACACCCAAATACTTAGAAGTATTTTGATACCCGGTATTTGTACCAGGTATTTAGTGATACCCATACCTTAAAGGCCGGGTATGGAGAATGGCAGGTATATCTCATCTCTAGTCTCGACTCCTCGAGCTCGATTACCAAGTATTACTTATAAGATAAAATAAAAAATGATGATGAATGATGTGTCTGATATTTTTTCATTATCTAACTGTCTACTACCCTACTACAATAAATATTGGTCATACAAGCACGCTAATTAAAATAACTGTTAAGAAACTCTCACAATAGAGCAGATGCCTAATTTTGATTTTATTGTCCGTCTGGTAAATTATTTTAAATCAGTCGACACGTATTTTTTATTTTCTTACAGAATCGAATACTTTGGACGATATATTGATTTGAAATGTCGCTTGACGTCACTTCTATGTACATTTTATACGTAGAAATGACGTTTTAGTCCCCACTCCTAAATTTTGATTCGTTTTATGTAAGTATTGTTTTGCTATACGACAAAATAAAAAAATACGTGTCTAATATTTTTTCATTACCTAACTTACGGACTAATTATTTTTAATATTCATACCCTGTCATCATCCCAATTGTCAAAACCTGCAACTTCAACCACGTATGGTGTTAATAACAGACCTACCACAATATAAACGGTACCTACCACGCGACCACGCCCCACTAACGAGTTTACAAATTCATTGTTTATTAACCACACAAAATGCGATTAAAGTGAAAGGTTGGGATGTGTACGGGGTGTTGTTATTGTGAATCAATAATATTCGACTAAAAGCTGAACTGGACGTAGTTTAGCTGAAAGGACTCAACCCACACTATGGTCAAAAATGAGTTATGTATGCCAAAGAGGTCCTAAAGGTTGGTTCTTTCACTCAGCAAAAAAGATCCGTGATACTACTATTATAAGGATGATTTTTTAATGACGCGAACCAACCCACATAGGGACGGGTAATTTTTTACAAACCACTGTAATAACCCAAATTCCTTGGGTCGTTTTTAATAAATCCAACTCGAAAGAAGCAGGTCTATATTTAATATAACAGAATTGTCTCAAAACACTTGAATCGTTTCAGTTAAAATACGTTAAAAGAAACCCGTACATTTTTTTATTCAACTAAAATGACTCAAATTGTGTGGATCGTTTCTGATAAATTGTTTTTCGAAGATATAAGCCGATTTTGTATTCAGCTAAAAAGACTCAAACTATGTAAGTCATTTCAGTTAAATTACCTTCATGGAAACTAATATATTGTTTATTCAACTAAAACGAATTATACTGTGTGGATCATTTCTGATAAATTGATTTACCAAGAAATAAGAACATTTTGTATTTAGCTGAAATGGCCTCAACTATTGAGTCGTGACAGTTAAATTAAATTTATATGAATTAAGTTTATTTTTTGATTGATTATTTGCTGTTTGACAGTGTACACACAGCTGTAAAATGTATTATTTTTTTATATATTTTCATTTGGCAACACAAAACTATATTTTTTGTACCTACTTAAAATACTGAGTTGCTGTCATTCTTTTCCGCCACGTCACGTATCGCGCGTAAAAACTTTCTCCGAATAAACTTTTTTAGTAACTGATAAGTGTTGTGAAAAGGCCGGAATAATGAAGCGAATTGATCGAATTATAGTTAGTGCTTTGAAGAATAATAATAGTTATTCTAATAGGATGGAAGAGTTCTTGCAGCGTAAGTTATTTTCATAACCTATAATATTTATCTAACATTAAGTTCAATTGAACGCTTAAACACTATTACCTACTTTCAGATAATAACGACTTTCCTACTGTTTCTTTGGCTCCTCCAATGAATGCACTTGTAATGGATCGCCTTGAAAGTAATAATTTAATTTAATAATAATTTCTATTTACCTACTAACTAAAGCCGCATTCACATTTGTCTGACGTGATGTGTCGTGAAGTTTTTTAACGTAGTAGAGTGGCTACAAAACTCATTATGATTGACGTAATTTTGAACAGAGTCGTTTGATTGGTGCATCCGGCGTCACGACACGTCACGTCATACAAATGTGAATGCGGCTTTACAATATCTTGCCTCTAGCTTAAGGTGGTTGTGATTATGCTTATGTACTTACTTTCAGATGATAAAGACTTACCTGCTGCTTCTACGGCTCCTGCCATGAATGAATCGGTAATGGATCGGCTTGAAAGTAATAATTTAATTTAACAATATTTTGTATTTGCCTACTAACTAACAATATCTTGCCATTAGCTTATGCTTATGTATCTACTTTCAGATGATAAGGATTTTTCTGTTGCTTCTTTTGCTCCTCCAATGAATGCACCAGTGATGGATCAGCTTGAAAGTAATATTTTTTATTGATTATTGAATTTATTGATATTTTATACCTACTTGCTGACAGTTTAATATCTTTTCATGTGCTTAGGGTGGCGGTGCTTATGCAAATTACTGTTGTTTTCAGATGATATCAGCTCACCAGTGGCTCCGCTATATTCACCTCTAACCCCTCTAGTAGCGGCATTTGGGACGACTAAACGTCAAAGTAATTTAATAATTTTCATGACCTCTCCTTGTATTTTACTTACAGTACTTATTTTTAAACTGACGTTTGTTTATTTCAGGAAGTGAAAAAAATTCTTCGCCCTTACCTCCAATGTCTCCAAAAACTTTCGAACTCTTCGAAACTCTAACTAGAACATTTCCTTCAGAAAATGCAAAAGAATTCATTGATCTTGACATGGCAAAAGAAGAAACGTTAACTCTAATGGAATTAAGAGATCTTGACGACGGTAAAAAAAACATCGCGAATGACCAAGGGACCGATTATAGTTGTGATACGGACTCCGATTATGTTCCGGATAGCGAGGAAGATTCAGACAATGCAAATCAACGTTTAGTTAAAAATAAAATTATGTTTACTGCTAACGTATTAGGATTAAAAAAAAATAATATACCAAATAGTAAAGACGATTCTGAAAATGAAACCTCAAGATCATTGTTAGAAGCTTTAAACTTACCAAGCGTAGAAAACCAAGAAGCAGTTTTAAAAACAAATACTAATACTGCAAGAAATTCATACTTTGATGAAGAAACTGTTCAGGATCTCTCTAATTTAGAAGTATGTAATAAAGACTCGGTTAGGCAGGATTTGGAAACACCAAACACCAGTCAGAAAGGACGGGCAAAAAGAGGTCGTAAAAGAAAATATCCTGATCATACATTAGCTCAGCAAAAAGAACGGAAATACAAAAATTTACCATACAATGCAAAATCCAAACGAGTTGCATCGAAAGTATTTCAAAACTACGCTTGTACCTGTACTAGACAATGTTTTGCCAAGGTTTCACAAGAACAAAGAAGAACTCAGTTCGAAAAATACATAGAATTGGATACGTATGAAGCGAAGCTATTATTTATAGTAAACAACGTTAAAGAAGAACCAAAATCAAGATCATATACGGTTACAAATAATAAAACAGGAAAAAAGAAACCCAGAGATTACAGAAGAAGATATTATTTAAGCGGTGTAGAAGTTTGTAAAGACATGTTCTTACATAATTTTCAAGTATCTTCCAAAAAAATTGATGTAAGTTTGCGAAAAAAGCGATCGAATCAAAGTTTAAAAGACCAAAGAGGTATACAGCAGGGTGGCTGGAATAAAACGCCAGAAGAAGATGTGGAATTTATTAAAAATGTAATAAACTCCCTACCTAAGTACAAGTCCCATTATAGAAGAGAGAACAATAGTGGCTGTGAGTACTTAAAAGTGGGGATGACTGTACAAAAAATTTACGAATTGTATGTAGAAGAAAATAAAAAACTGCACGGCGAATCTAAGAAACCTGTTTCGTTTGAAACCTTAAAAAGAATATTTTATAAATATTTTAATTTGCGCTGCAAAACGTTAAAAAAAGACACATGTAACAAATGTGATACTTTCACACAAAAAATAAAAAACTGCACATCGGCCGATGAAAAGTTGAAATTGGAGAAAGAAAAGGAAGATCATTTAAATCGAGCACAAGACCTGCGACAATCCATGAATGAGGATTTAGCACGAGCCAAAACAGACCAAACTTTTGAATGCCTAACATTCGACCTTGAGAAAACTCTCCCGTTGCCGCGCATCCCTACCAATATTGTGTTTTATAAACGCCAACTATGGCTGTACAATAGTGGCATACATGCTGGCTCCAATGACACCGGCCACTGTAACGTATGGTTGGAAGGTGAAGCTGGTCGGGGAGCACAAGAGGTCGGTTCGTGTCTAGTACGATACATAAAACATAAAATGGACCCAAAAGTTGAAGAGCTGGCACTATGGAGTGACTGTTGCGGGGGACAAAATCGTAATATTAAAATAGTTTTAATGCTTAAGGCCTTACTAAACTCACATCCTAGTCTCCAAACCATCACATTCAAATACCTAGAGTCCGGCCACACATTCTTACCGAACGATACCGATTTCTCCAAGATAGAATACCAGCTAAAATTCCATGAAAGAATATATACTGCCGAAGATTACATTAACGTAATGAAAAGCTGTAGAAAGAAGAACCCTCTTAAAGTTTACAGAATGCAGATGAAAGATTTCGTGTCAACGTCTAAAATTGAAAAGAAAATAGTAAACAGAAAAACATTTATTTCGAAAGAAAAAGTGAATTGGCTAAAGACAAAAGAAATTTGTATTAAAAAGAATTTCAAACATTCCATTTTTATGAAAATAGATGGAGTAGTTAAAGAGTTAAACATTGAAAAAAAAGTTAGAGGAAAAGTTTTAGATATTTCTGAGGATGATTTTAATTATCTTTGGCCTGATGGCAAAGAAATTGCACAGGCAAAATTGGACGATTTAACATCAATGTTCCATCTTATCCCTAAAGACTGTCTGGACTTTTACAAGTCCTTAAAAGGAAAAGAATCTGAGGAAGATGTGGATGGGTACGGAGCGGAACCAGATTTTGAGGTGGAGCTGGAGCTGGGTGATGATGAGGAAAAATAGAAATTATATTTTTAGGAACATTATATTTTTTAATAAATACGTAATTTGCTAAATAATAAGCCTTTTTTTATTTAAATATCAGTTTTTTCACAAGTTTTTGTTACTTGAATCTTTTTTGAGAAATAAAAAAAAACACTTCCTAATCTTAAAACCAATTTAGCAGAAACGACTCAAATCAACATTTTTCCCAATAACTCGAAAATAAGTTGGTTTATGTTACTACAGCTTAACTCATAAATTTGTTGTATATTTTGCCCTTACGTGATTATATTTCAAAATATTCCAAACACAACATTATGACAGCAATACACATCTAAACTTAAAACCTCGATAAATCAAAAATGGCATATTGTGGGCTGAGTCCTTTCAGCTAAACTACGTCCAACTAATAGTCGATGTTAACCTAATTCTAACTTCACTTATATATCTAGATCAATCTCTAGGTTTTCATAACATTTCGACCATTAATTTTGACCATAAGTATTTAAAGTATATATCTGTGTACCTGAACTTAAAATATCACCAGGATACCTAAGTGTTTTATTACAACTTGTTTAACCTCTATCTGTGCATGTAAGACACAATAGAAAACATATTGTGTCTCGCGTATATTTGCATTCGAACAGACAAGAGGTCAAAGCAGATTCATAAACTCCTTATTGACCGCACCGCACTCTACGCACCAGAGATAAGCATCTCTTACGCATCGCAGCGTAAAGTCAGTCCACGCGATGTTCAGCAAACATCCCTAATGCACTACAGAATCGTCCCCGCCCCATCAGCATCCCGAGCGTAAAAGAAAAGAAAGAAAGACAGAAAAATGGTTTACTTGCACATCGTCGTAAAGTACAATAACAAAAAAAAGGAAAAAAAATAAAAACAGTGAAGACGGCGCAAAAAGGCCAGAGCTCAGCATTAAAAAGAAAGAGCATGCAAAGAGCCACCAGACCACCACAGATGCCCAATAGGGCTGATGCCGATACGGAGCCGCCGAGAACGTAACGGGTTACCGGGGCTCCGGCTGAAGTAGGAGAAGACGAAGGACTGGAGTAGGACCGGGGTGGTTTTTAATCAGTAAGAGTCTGGCACTCACTCCCGCCTCACCTAGGCGGGAGAAGACATTCGTTACATATTTTCCATACATTATTTTCCCCCCTTAAAAAAAATCCCCTTCAGCCTCCAACAAAAAAAAAATCAATCTTGTGCTTCATTTCTACCAAAAATCCCTATAACCTAAATAAAATCAAATCATTGTCCCAAGTTCTGCTTTACACGACACCCTGTGTATCACGCAGGGGGTAGGCAGCATACATTCTTAATGTGACGTTGACAGGGAAATTGAGCTTTGATGTAACTGAATGAATTTGAACCTAGTTCCCGGCGTTACAATGTGGTTAACTTAAACTGGACATTTATTGAGGTGGTCATTTTTGTCAACTACTCTTAAACCATCTCTTTATTTAGCAGAAGCACCCATACTATTCCTTCCTACGTTAAGGTGTCACTTATTGGTTGTGAAAACCAAAATATCGTTACGTGACACCTATTTTAGCCATATAACAATCCCTTAACAAAGCCCTGCCTATATCTTTACGCTATAATAAATTATTAATAACACACTAACTAATGGCGTAGAAGAGATAATATGAAAACTTGACGAAGAAATCGGAAACTCGCTCAATATAACAACCAGTATATCATTACCTCACTGTTTGATAGTCTTACTCTGTAATTGGAGGTCAGATTACAGTGGTTCTATATCCAGTTTATATTGACCTGGTGTTTAGAGGAGTGTAGGTTTAGTTAGAGGTCAAGTTAAATTAGTTTGTATTTCAGTGTATACTGACCTTGTGTTAAGATAAATCTGTATGTAGTTGGAGGTCAGGTTATGGTGGTTGATTACCTTTGTAGGGAAGAAACAATGTGTGAGTAATAGTTATTCATTATAGTGGATGTACGTTTAATAAAGTACGAATAGGTATAATATGTGAGTACGTTGGTATATCGATATTTATGCTCAACTAGCGACCCGCCCCGGATTCGCACGGGTGCAATATGCATGTACTATGCATACAAAACTTCCTTAAGAACCACTCTATCTATTAAAAAACCGCATCAAAATCCGTTGCGTAGTTTTAAAGATCTAAGCATACATAGGGACAGACAGACGGCGGATGGCAATTTTGTTTCATAGTTTTCATACTAAGTAGTGAGTAGTAATAATATTGTAAGACAGTTGTAACGCAAGCAATTTG